AAAATAGTAAAATAGTTAAAAAAAGTTTTTATATTAAAAATAATATTATATTTATATATGTGCATCACCGACGATTGATGGGAACCCTTGCAATCGTTTTAGTTGTATAAATAGGTATGACGAAAAAAACTTATTTTTAATTATTTTACTATTTTAATTTAACTAGTTTATTAATTTATTCTAATCATTTTTTAATTCAGAATCATATATTGTACAATTTGGTTTTCTTGAAAATTAATGTTGATTCATCAAGGCACGTTGGTGCGACTTAATTTTTGTTTTTTTACAATTAACATGCAATTGTGAGGAGACATTTGTTGGAAAGTGGTATTTTTGTCACTAAATGCGGGGGGGGGGGCGGCGGGGGGAGGAATATTGGAGGAATAGCGAGAAAAGTAATTTCTTCGTAATTTTAACTAGAAGAACCTTTATAAATTATATTCGAACATCAAATTTATGTTTATATCATTTGGTAGTTTTGTAACTTTGCGACCTTTTTATTTGTATAATATTTTTTTGTTATACTGAGGATGACCTAAGGTCAAAATGTTTGTATTATTTTAATATTAAAATTCATTTATTAGCACTTAACATTCTGTATTGTTAACCTTTATGTCTTTAACTTGATCTTTAGATCGAGCATTGCGGAAGGTGTTATTTCGCTCTGCATTTATACGGAATAAAAGAGTTGCGCGATCTGATCAAATTCTATTCATCTTTTACGGCTTCTTATCATATGCATCTCTTTTACTTCGTATTTAGCTATTTTTGAAATTGGAAAAATTATAGGTGGAAATAATTTATTAGAAATGTACGCGATATATATATATATATATATATATATATTTAATTAATTTTTTAAATATAAAATTTAATTATATGATATATGCACGCGTGCGCCGCTGAGGAAATAATAAAATTTATCGATAAATGACTGAAGAGAAAGATTCAGATAAAAAATCCTCGCTCCATGATCCTTTGGCATACGTTTGGTTGAATGTTAAAAATCAATAGAACAGAAATTTTATTGCTGTTTGACCTATATCGTATCAGAATTATAATAGAACTGCCGCATTCGTCGGACATTATAGTTTTTGAAAAATATATATAGTTTCTTTCTTTGTTATAATATACAATTATAATTTCATCAATAAACAAGAATAATAACAATACAGTTAATAATAATATTATTACAATATATGCGCTATATATAAAAAATTATTATAAATAAATTAAAATAAAACAATTGAAGAAAATTTTTTTCAAATAGCGGCAATAAAAATAACAACAATAATAATATGTACAAAATATATTTAGTAAAACGTATAAGCGTTTGAATACACGTTTATAGATATATAAATATGTAAACAACGTGAATCCACATTTTACAATTAATACGTAATAAATGTAATATAACTTATAGTAATACTAATGTATTGTTATTATTTTCTTTGTTTCTGTGCAGAGAGTTTTCCGACGCAAACACACTACATATATTATTCGAATCGCGCATTTAATAATTGTCATTCGTCACGAGTGAGGAAGCTGCAGTCAGATTTCACAAGTTACATGATACGTGTATATTGATGATGACATCGGGCGTAACGTGTACGTTTCAATCGTAACAGAGTAGGAGGATGTTCTTCGCGTAAATTTATATCGAAATATGTACAATTTTGTGTGACAAAATCGATTCGCCAATGGCGCCAATGTTGAATTAATATTATATGCTTT